GGAGAGCTGTACAGACTCCTGTGTCAGTAACAGCAGGACAGAGAGACCAAACAATCAGTAGAGAGAGACATTCGATAGAGCTGTCGACCAACTTGACCCAGTTGATTTCATACCACATGGTAGAATCCACATCGGACATTTATCAAGATAGGCTATATTCTGGGCAATAAAAAATGTCTGGCCCGACCGGCATGACTCAGTGGTTGAGCATTGACCTATGACTCAGGAGGTCACGGTTTGATTCCCGGTCAGGGCACAGGCCTGGGTTGTGGGCTTGATCCCCAGTGGGGGGCCTGCAGGACGCAGCCACTCAGTGATTCTGTCTCATCATTGAGGTATCTTTCCCTCTTCCTTCCTCTCTGAAATCAATAAAAATAGTTATTTTTAAATGTCTTAATAAATGTCAAAAAAATTAAAACCTACAGAGCGCATCTTCTGACCTAATATTAATAGACTAGGAATCAACCATAGAAAGATACCTGGCATAGCACACCTGTTTGGACAGATGAACGAAAAAATAGTGGCAGCACCAAAGGCTGGCAGGGACACAGAGAAAGCAGGTCTCTCACACATGGCGATTGGGAGCACCAAAGGGCGCAGCTGCTCTGGCTAATAACTGGCCGGTTTCTTTGAAAAACTAAACCTGCGTTACTGTGGGGCCCAGGAATTATACTCCCGGGCAACTATCCTGGAGAAGAAAACGTATGTCCACACAAAACACATGTGCTCTTATGTTCACAGTAGATTTATTTCTAGCAAAAGAGGGGAACAGCTCAACTGTCCTTCAGTGGGTACATGGCTAAACCCACGATAGCCCATCTCTATCATGGAAGAATATTACTCATAAGAAGAAAGAAACTTGCTATTGAGGCACAACCACATGGATGGATCGCAAGAGATTATGCTGAGCAGGGAAAAAAAAAATCAGTCTCAAAGGTTACTTACTCTAAGCTTCCACTTATATAACATTCTTTAGATGATAACATCCTAGAAGCCGAGAACAGAGAGGTTGGCTGGCATCGGGGTGGGGGAGGGAGAGCGGGTGTGACTAGGAAGGTGTAGCATGGACGGACTGCAGAGCGAGCGGACAGTTCTGCATCTTGATTGTGGTGGCGGTTACATTAATCCACACAGGTCATAAAACTGCACAGGATTATGCAATACCCACGCCGGTGAGTTCCTGCACAGCTAGTGGACTCTGAAAGCCGTCTGTGAACTGTGCCAGGGCCGATGCCCTTGTTTCAATCGTGTGTGTGAGTTCTGCCCGGTGTCACCACCGAGGAAAACCGGGCGAAGGACTCGGGGAACTTCTCTGTATTATTTTTGGAACTTTCTGTGACTGTACAATTTTTTCAAAAGGAAAGGGGTTAAGAAAAATGTGCAAATATTTGGAAATGAAACAACACTCCTCTAAAAACCCTTGATTCAAAGAAAAATCGCAAAGGCTATTAGAACATATTTGGACCTGAACGACACAAAAGCAAAAACAAAAAATCAAATATTGTGGAATATTGTGGAAATGCTGTGAAAACAGTGCTTGGGAGGGAAAAAAATTAGCTTTCAACACTTATAACAGAGGAGAGGTTTGAAATCAATGATAGCGCCTCGCATCACCAGAGACTAGAAAAAGCAGAGCAAGTTAAATCCAAAATCACTAGACGGGTAACACAGGACCAGCGACATCCTCTGAGTCTGTCAACAAAACCTCTCATAAGTTAAGGGGTTAAAAAAAATTGGAGGTACATAAACATGACCTCTGAGCAAGAAGGGTGCGGGTTATGTGCGGGGCTTAACAGGAGCCCTGAGTGTCCGTTTCCCCGAACGCTGAGCCCCACTGGGGCTAGGAGAGACGCGCCTGTCCTCCCCTCCCCGCGTACAAAATCTGCTCTCTCCGCGCTTAGAAGAGACGGAACAGAGAGGGTCCGGAAGTGTCGGGTGCCCAGCACACTGCGCGCACTCCATCGCACACCTCTGGAGGGAGCGCTCGCCCTCTGCACTGGGAGGGGCGCCCCCTGCAGTTGCGCGGTGCACAGCCAGGCAGTCACGGCACAGTGACCAACAGCACACGCCCAGGAGCCCACCTGGGGTCTGTTTCCAATCCTAAGGCCCAGGCCTCTAGCTGAGGGCAGGTTATTTCCCCTCCCTGTGCCTCCATTTCCCCTCTTTTTTTTTCTTTAAATCCTTACCCGAGGATATTTTTCCATTGATTTCTAGAGAGAGTGGAAGAGAGAGGGAAAGGCAGAGAGAAACATCGATGTGAGAGAAACACATCCATTGCATGCACCCCGACCAGGGCCCGGGCCAGGGGAGGAGCCTGCAATCGAGGCACATGCCCTTGATCAGCCACATCAGCTGGACTGTTAATATTTTCAATTACAGGTCAGGTAAGGGCAAGAAGTATTGAAAACTCTAACCAATTCTAAGAAGCGGAAGTGGAGAAGTCTGGGTTCATACCAGTCTTGCAGACGTGGGCGGGCCGGCGTGTGTGGCTCAGTGGTTGAGCATTGACCTATGAACCAGGTCACCGTTCCATTCCCGTTGGGGGCACATGCCCCGAGTTGTGGGCTTGATCCCCAGTGGGGTGTGCAGGAGGCAGCTGATCCATAATTCTCTCTCATCATTGATGTTTCTCTCTCTCCCCCTCTTCCTTCCACTCTGAAAGCAATTAAAAAAAAGAAGAAGAATAAATGCATAAGAAGAAAGCACAGACCAGGGCAGGCCACATGGCCTCCGGACCTGGGGCTCTGCTCCCAGCCATGGCTGAGATGGCAGAAGCCAGAGGTCTCTTCCGGGAGGGAGGGAGGCCAGAGCCACCGCTGCAGCCCCAGTGAGGTCAGCCAGTCAGCAGTTAGAAAAGCAGGCATTTCTCACACTTGCTAATGAGCTTGACGCTTGTGAAACATCAACAGGAAGTGGGAGCTCTCCAAAGCGCCCCGGAGGAAATCCACTCCCAGTGTGGTCAGCACACGGAGCAGGTCTCCAGGCTGTCAAGGTCACTGCCAAGTCTGATCACTCACACACACTCACACTCACTCACACACACACACTCACACACACACACTAACACATACACACACACACTCACTAACACACACACACACTCACACACACACTCACACACACACACACTCACACACACACTCACACACACACACTAACACATACACACACACACACACACACACACTCACACACACACACACACACACTCACACACACACTCACTCACAAGCTTGACCCCCTTGCTCAGCCTCTCCCGCAGCCAGGGCTCCGGGCCGGGTGGGGGGCAGGGGCTGGCCCGGCGCTGGGAAAGGCTGACAGTCATCTCTCCACCCGGGCGGGCGGGCGGGCGGGCGGGCGGCGGGGCAGCGCCGAGGTCAGTGAAATCCCCGCCGGCCCGGTTTTAGTCATGAATTTCCACCGGCCCCTCCCCTCCCGGCTTCGGCCGGGGCCTGGCAGCCGCTTCCCCGCTCCCGGCCGTGGAGAAGGTCACCGCGCCCGGACCTCTCCGGGGAGGCGGCGGGGCCTGGGCACGTGGAGGCCTCGCTGCCCCGGCTTCTCCCCCTCCTCCTTCCCCAGGCACCTCCGTTCGTAGGAAATAAAACTAAAAACAAAACCACAAAACCGCAAAAAAAAAAATTTTTTTTTTAAACCTTATGTTTTTTTCCCTGCGGCCAGTGCAGCCGGTGGCCCCGATATAACTTCCCAGGCTCCTTCCCCTGCCCACCGGCCCTCCCGGAGGTTCCCGTAACGCGGGCAGAATCGCGCTTATGTCCCCCGTGCCCCTCCAGCGGGCACCGAGTGGGGGCTCGGGACGCGCGGGGAGGGAACGAGCGCCACGCTCACGGCCACGGGCGCGGACTCCCCGCCCGCTCCGCGCAGCCCGCACACAGCGCCGCCCAGCCCCCCGCGGGCGCGGGGACGGCCGACCCGGTCTGGGTCCCGGGCGGCGCGGCGGCCTGAGCCCGGCCACGTGAAGCGTCCCGCCCCGGCCGCTGCGGGGCAGGCGTCGCCGCCGGTTGTGTAACGCAGCAGCCGGAGGGGAGGCGACCCGGACGCCGCGCTCGGGGGGGGCGGGGGGGCGCGGGAGGGAGGGAACGCGGGCGCCGCTGCCTCGGTGCTAGACTACGGGGTGGGGGTGGGGGCACCCGGGGGGCGCGCACGTGGTTGCCCGCGCCCCGTAGGCAGTGCCCGCGGGCGGAGCTCGGGGGAGCGGGGGCGCCGCGCACACCCTCGGCGGTCAGGTGCGCGCAGCGTGCTCGCCGGCGGCCTCGGCTGCCCCTGCGCTTGGCCGCCAGCCCGCTTCCCATGGGGTGACATCCGCCCCGCCCCTCGGCCCCTCCCGCGGCGGGCGATTCCTGGACGCTGGGCAGCGGGGTGGGGGCAGGGAAGCCGGGACGGGAAGAAACCGCGGCCTCTGGGGAAGGCAGGGGGCCCGGCGACTCCCTCCGCTGCGCGCGGGCTCCTGCGAGCGGCGGGCGGGGCGGGAGGAAGCGGGCTGGGCCGAGGAGCGAGGGGATATTCCTCTCCCGCCTTGAGTCAGACGCTGGCGGATCCGTCCTCCCCCGTCCCTCCCGGGAGACGGGAACTTACTTCATTTCCCTGGGGCAGGTTCGCCCACGTTACCACCCACCCCCTGGCTCCCCTTCCAGCCTCGGCGCCCCCCCACACCCCCCCCCCCCGCTGGGCAGGACCCAAGCTGCGCTGCCACCCCCTCTTCGGGGAAAGGCAGCCGCACCGCAGACACCTGGGGGCCCGGCCGGGGTGGGGGTGGGGGCCCCTCGCAGCCGCAAGAGCGTTGTCCAACACGTGAGGCTCATGTGATGAAGCCGGGGGAGGGCGGGCCGGGCGCTCCTTCCCTCCCCGGCAGCGGCCAGACGTGCCTGGAGTCACAGGGTAGAACACGTAGCTCCAACCCACCCACTCGCTCCCATTTAACCCAGCCCGCAGCCGCTCCATTACTCCGCGGCTCCCCCGCCCTCGCTGCCCCCCCGCGCTCCTCGCGCCTCCCCGCCCGCCCCACTTCTCATTCACTTGGCTCGCGCGGCGCAGAAGGCGCAGGGAGCACACACCGCCAGGCTGTGCGCAGCGCCGGAGCCAGCGGCCGCCGAGACCCCGTGCACGCCCCCAGCTGAAGCGAGCAACACCTCGCGGCCGCCGCTCCCCGCAGCCCGGCGCATTTCGGGGAGCTCGTCCCCAGAGGAAGCCCAGCCGAGAGGCTCCGAGGCGCCTCCAGGACTGCCCTCCCCCGGCGCTCGCCTGCAGACAGGAGCGCACAGTGGCCCCGGCTCGCCGTGCCATGGAGCGGATCCCCAGCGCGCAGCCGCCCCCCTCCTGCCTGCCCAAGGCACCGGGACTGGAGCCCGGGGACCTACCGGGGTAAGTGGGCACCCCTGGCCCCTCGGAGCCTCCACTCCAGCCCTACGTGCCGCACCGCTCTCGGCTCGGAGCAGTTCCGGGCGCACCCGGGGGTCCTTGCCCGCCAGGCTGTGCAGCCCGGGCGCACGCAAACTCACCACCCTCCTGGCCCCTCTCCCTGCAGGATGGATTTCGCCCAAATGTACCAAGTGTACAAGTCGAGGCGGGGAATAAAGCGGAGCGAAGACAGCAAGGTAAGATCCCCCTCGCCCCGGGGAGCCGCACGCAGCCCCAGCACGCGCTGAGTTTCCAAGAAAAGTTTTCTCACTCGGAGGCTGGAGGGGGGTCTGCCAGGTGCCGGCGCGGCGTCTCCCCCGAGCAGCGTGGAGGAGAAGGGGCAGGAGCGGGTGGCTCTGGGTGTGACTGCCGCGCTGCCCCGACTCTTCCCGAGCCGCCGGGTGGGGAGGAGAGGGCTGCTCGCCCGGCCTCCGGCGCCCACCGCCTCCCCGTGCGCCTTGCAGGAGACCTACAAACTGCCGCACCGGCTCATCGAGAAAAAGAGACGCGACCGGATTAACGAGTGCATCGCCCAGCTGAAGGACCTCCTGCCCGAACACCTCAAACTTACAGTAAGTGAGAAGCTGGCCGCGCTCCCAGCCGGCTCCCCGCCTGCAGGGCGGGGGTCACTCGCCGCCTGCAGGCCCCGCGGGGAACTGCAGAGCCGAGGGCTGGGTCCTGGACGGGCGCCTCTGTTTGGGGGTACCCTTGCCCAGGGCTGGGGTTTCCGGGTAGCCTCATGCCAATGAGTGAGAACCGCTCGGACTTCTCCAAGTTGGCGCCAACCCCAGCCCGCCTTCCCCTCCGTGAGTTTTAGACTTTCCCTTCTGGGGGCGGATGTTCAGGGTTCCCGAGTTTTCTGAGCTGAGTGAACGACCAACACGCAGGTTTTATTTACCTGCTTTTTTTTTTTTAATAAGAGGACCCGTTTTGATGTGATTTTCATGTCCTGTCCTTTCTTGGCAGTAGCCAGTAGCTTACCAGCGTGGCAGCCTTTGGTTGGGGAAAGGGGAAAATAGTATTTGGGGAGGAAGCAGAAGCCGGGTGAGCTGGGCGTTAGGAGAGGGGGTCCTGGAAAGCCTCTTGCCGCCAGGGACGGCATTGCCTCCGGGATGACAGGCAGCAGAGGAACGTTAGCCTGGTCGGGAGGGAGGTCGCCCGGCCGCAGCTGCTGGAGAAACGGACCTGCCAGCGCCTTTGCCTCAGGTTGCGGCTGCTTCCAGGCGCCTCCAGGGACAGGGGCACTCGTCTTCCTATTCTGTCACCAGGCGTATATATTTCCTTAATCTGTGCCTTTAAAATTAAACTCAGCCAACCAGGAAAGCCCCCCCCCCGCCCCCGCCCTGCCCTAGACGTTTCTCATTGCTAACGAGTGTCCCAGAGGCAGGCCCTGTGAGCGGGCTGCTGACGCAGGCTCTTTCTGCAGACGCTGGGGCACCTGGAGAAGGCCGTGGTGCTTGAACTCACCTTGAAGCACGTGAAAGCCCTGACGAACCTAATTGACCAGCAGCAGCAGAAGATCCTGGCCCTGCAGAGCGGGCTGCAAGCCGGTGAGTGCCCGTGCCTGGCCCGCATCTCCGGCGGCGTGGGGGCCGGCGGGGGCCGGGGAAGGGGGGGCTCCAGCACAGACAGGGCCGCGGGCCCAGCGCCTGCTCTTAGGAACATTCCTGCCCCGCACGGCGCGAGCACGTTCCCGCTGGGGGAGGTGCCGGGTCAGCGTTCTCAGAGGTCGGGCTTTTCGAGTGGGCACGCCGCTGTGCCACCTGGCAGGGCGGCCTGGGGGTCAGATGGTCACTGGCTCCTGGGCATTTTGGCTTCGGAGTTTATGAGTTCCGGGAGTTTCCCCCTTCCTCGTAAAATGCAAAGGTCCCTGGAATTCGCATGTGGGCGTTCACAGTCATTCCTTGGAGAAGGCGGCGCGGGCATGCCCCCGTGTTTTCCTGGGTCTCTGCTTCCTCGTGGCTCGGTGTGTGGCATGGCCCTGGCAGGGTGACAGCAGGAGTTTTTCCTGCATTTCATGTGGTTCCCTGAATAGCCACTAGGTATCTCGGCGAGTTGCGCAACCTAACGAAACTCCTGGCGTTTCATCACCCGGCGCTACTCGCCTCCCAGAGAATCACACTCACCCTCACCTTCCAACCTTCCCTATGCTATTCAGCCGGCTGGCCGGCGGGTGGGGGGGGGGGGGAGTCCTGCCCACTCCCTCATCCCATCCTTCTCCGCCCTCCTGCCAGGTGCCTCCCTGGAAACAGATACTCAAACCTGATTTCTTGAGGCTTGTGGATCGAATACATGGCAAAGGCTTGAAAGAGCCTGTCTGTTTATAGATGGCAGTGTGACTGTCGTGGGAATATGTCACTGCAAATTAGGTTACTTGAGGTGGCATCATTCCTTCATTCTTTCATTCCATGGCCATCTGGCCTCTGTCCGTCTTCCTGCGGTGACGCCGAGGTTGTGACCACGGACTCTTTGGGTTAGAAACACGCTCGGCTCCCATGGCTGGGTCCCTTGTCCTGAGAAGTCAGGGACCACCTACACATTCCACCAGGGGGACGCTGGCCCGCCTGTTATGACGGTCTGGTTCTCTGATGGATCTTATGCAGCCATTACACCCATGTCGTTTCGATTTGATTCCTTACATGTTTCAGGGCAGCCCGCATCTTCTCTGGCCGTGTTCCTTCTGGAGTTAGGAACACAGATGCCCGCGCGTGTTCGCAAACAGGGGAGCACCTGGCCTCGGGGGGCTGGTGTCCGGGTGAACCCCGGGGCCTTCTGAAATGCCTTCCTTCCTCCGTGTCCACCCAGGTGAGCTGTCGGGGAGGAACACCGAGGCGGGGCAGGAGATGTTCTGCTCGGGCTTCCAGACCTGCGCCCGGGAGGTGCTGCAGTACCTGGCCGCGCACGAGCACACGCGCGACCTGAAGTCCTCGCAGCTCGTCGCCCACCTGCACCGCGTGGTCTCGGAGCTGCTGCAGGGCGGCGCCTCCCGGAAGGTGTCGGACCCGGCGCCCAAGGCCGCGGACTTCAAGGAGAAACCCAGCGCCCTGGCCAAAGGCTCCGAGGGCCCCGGCAAGAACTGCGTGCCCGTCATCCAGCGGACTTTCGCCCACTCGAGTGGGGAGCAGAGTGGCAGCGACACTGACACAGACAGCGGCTACGGAGGCGAGTCTGAGAAGGGCGACGTGCGCGGGGAGCAGCCGTACCTCAAAGGTGACCACGGACGCAGGTTCGCTGCCGGAGAACGGATCGGGGCCATTAAGCAAGAATCCGAAGAACCCCCCACGAAAAAGAGCAGGATGCAGCTCTCAGACGACGAAGGCCGCTTCCCCGGCAGCGACCTGATCGGCTCCCCGTTCCTGGGCCCGCACCCACACCAGCCCCCCTTTTGCCTGCCCTTCTATGTGATCCCGCCGTCAGCCACCGCCTACCTGCCCATGCTGGAGAAGTGCTGGTACCCCACGTCCGTGCCCCTGCTCTACTCAGGCCTCAACGCCTCCGCCGCAGCCCTCTCCAGCTTCATGAACCCGGACAAGATCTCGGGCCCCTTGCTCATGCCCCAGAGACTCCCTTCTCCCTTGCCATCGCACCCGGCCCTCGACTCCTCCGCCCTGCTCCAAGCCCTGAAGCAGATCCCCCCTTTAAACCTGGAAACCAAAGACTGAACTCTGTAGGGATCCTGCTGCTTCGCTTCCCATCCTCCCTTTCAAAAAAAAAAAAAGTGTGTTTGTGTGAGCGCAGGGCGACTGTTCCAGGGTGTGTGCCAGGTCGTCCGAGGCAGGGAGAGAAGAGCTGGGGGTGGGCGTGTGGGCTGTGTGTTGGTTTAGGACCTTGGGCCCCTTTGGGGCGCCATGAAGGATGGCCTGCCGCCAGCAGACTTGGGGGTTGTCGCAGGACCTCTGGGCTCGTCCCCACCCAGAGAATAACCTCTGGCTACCAGTCAGCTGGGTTTTCAAAAGCTTCCGAGGCTGGGTCTGTGAGTCAGTCTCCACTCTGGGATCGGGCCAGTGGCTTCGAGAAAAAGGTACTTTCAAAAGAGGGCTTTCCAACGCGCAGTTCCCAGCCGGCTCCCCTGACCCCGCCCGCCTCCCTCGCACCCTGGCCGTGACTCACCACGCAGGGAGAGGGCGGCCAGGCCCAGCTTTCCGCTAAGTGGCGAGATGGCCCACGGGGCCTCGCACGATCACGATCGTGGTCTGGGGAGATTTCCGCAGGCCCGCTCCCCACCCTGCCTCTGCGGCAGGGAGAGCGCAGTTCCCTCCCCGGCTTTCGGGGTGATGGGTTGGCTGAGGAACTGAAAGGGCCTCAGACAAGCCCAGCTGCAGGGCTGTGGGCGCGGTCCCCGGGGGCCTCGGGCACCTGTTTCCAGGTCTCGCTGTCCAGGGAGCCACGCCAGGGTCTGAGAGATGCAGACGCCTAAGTTCCCAGCGCCCCAAAGTGCATCAGGCTGCCTAACACCGCGCTACCTTCCACCAGCCAAGACTCAGTTTTCGGTTCTGGCCTAAAGCTCCTTGTAACCAAGCTTAGCTTCCTGAAGGCCTGCCTGAGCCTTTCACAAGACCCTTTCCGTAGCCTAATGCCTCCCTGCCCCACCCCCCACCCCCACGCACACGCACACACGCACCACCAGGGCACGTGGAGTCTCCTTCCGAGAAGGTTTCAAACCTCTTGGTCCAGGGGACCTGTCCCGGACTTGTCCAGCCAGGCCCGCACCAGCCCTGCATTTTCCAAATGCACGACGCTTGGCCGCCGACCGTGTTCTCACTCTTTCTTTCCCTGTTTTTATTTTGGTGTCAAGCCGTTGCCTTTATTTGTAAAACGGTTATAAATATATATTATATAACTCTATTGAAGAGGAGACTTTCAGGTGTTTATTTGTATAGCTACTTGGTCTGCACCTCGAGGACGATGAATGTACTCCTGTTGCTGGAGAGAGGGCTGCGTCTCTTCTGCTCGGGGGAGCGGTACAGTGTTTATATTTCGGAGCCTTCCTGAAGGTGTGAGGCTGTAAATATTTTTATCGATGAGCCGATGTTGAGTGGCTGTTTTAAAGGACTGAATAAAATCGCGCTCTTCCCGTGGAAGGGAAAGACGGTGTCTTGCATTTCTTAGAAGAACTCGATGGCGAGGTGTGGCTGCCCCCTGCCCTCTCCTGGTCTGAAGGCGGAGACTAGTTAGGTGACTAGTTAACCGCCGTGCCCTGCCGTTCGGCTTCACCCAGCCTTGTCTCCAGACACAAGGGGCCTAGTCAATGTCAGAGGCAAATATTTGCTGAAGTTTGGGGTTTTGTTTTTTAACTAACCTTTGCTAGAGGTTTATCATCACCTCATACTTCCTTCCACGGTTAAGCAAAAAAGGGCATCTCCCACCCCACGCCCCCTCCCCGGCCACCTTCCTTAGGACTTGGCAGAAAATCAAAGAATGGAACCGGGACCTCGGTGTCTGGGGAGCGTGGAGGAGGGCGGGCCGCGGGGGGAAGGTTTCGTACGTTCTGCGGCAGTGGTCACTGGCGCTGGGGTAGCCGGGGCCGCCTGAATGTTTCGAGTCCAGCAAGGTCTGATGGATTTGCCATATCCTGCCTTACCGCCGCTGAAGGCAACATCCCATCATTATTTTCTACATCCTTCCTGCGCTTCCTCTCCAGGGGCGTGTGTGTGAGCGCGAATGACTATCGCTGTTCCTTCATCAAGTGCTCTTTTGAAAAGGAAAACGTTCCCTGGGAAAAGAGGTGGGAAACGGCCGGGCCCAATGTCCGTGCCTCCCCCGTCACCCTCCCAGAGGCGTCCGATGCCTCAGATGCCAGTGCCTGGCTGGCCACGCTCCCGCACACCCCCGCCCCCTGCCCCCGTCCCGTCCTCCAGCCCTCCCTTGTCTGGGTTCCGGGCAGGGAACCTATGGCCCCAGGCCCCTGGGTAGCAGTCACCAGGCAGAGGCACCCCCTGCCACCATGAGTGTTGGCTCTAAGTGTCACCTTCCTGTCTCCTGTGAGCCAGCAGGCAACACGAGCGTGGCCTGGCTTGTGTGGGTCACAGCAGCGGGGTCTGAAGGCACAGGTGTCCCCAGACAGCTCGGTGCCTGGGCAGGAGCCCCGGCCAGGAGGTGGGAGGTGAACGGTGGGTGTCTGTCACGCCCGTGGCCACATGCCTGCCTTGGACTCGTAGCGTGAGGGTTCTGAGTGTCAGGTAGCAGACACATGGCAACCTGTCAGGCCTCCTCCTCCCGGCACCTGGGGGCCTGATCCGCCCCCGAGTTCCTCCATGAATCGCTAGGCCTTTTTATTTTGTATGTTTTAGGTAAAGACCTGAACAAGTCAGGTTTATCCTGGGGATGGAGCTCAGGGCGGAAACCAAGACCACACTCGTTCTGCATGCCCCCCTCTCCTGGGCCATGACTCAAGGGCTTGCTGTGGGGACAGAAGGAAGTGGTTGGAGCGACCTGCATTACAAAAAGTTTTGCGGGTTCAACACATAGTCAGCGGAGAAGCCCCCCCCCCCGGCGCCTGCCCGTCACACGCCCCTGAAGCGGCAGCTGTAGTCCCTCTGCCTCCTCCTGCTTCTGTTTGCCCTTGACCTTCCTCCAGCCGAGCTGAGCGGGTTCCAAGTGTCTCCAAGGGAGGTGGGGACAAAGAGGACCTCTGTTGGAAAAGGGGTGTGTGCGTGTGAGGGGGTGAAGCTCTGGTTTGGGGCCCAGGAGAGGTGGGGGGGGGCGAAGGGAGTGGGAGGCGGCGAGGGAGCCCAGGCTGGGGCTCTGGCCGCGTTCAGACAGGGCGTGCTCTCCGCCCGCCGGGATGGTCTCACCCAGCGCTGACCTGCCTCGCCTGTTGACACAACTTCACGTTTCCGACTGCAGCCTTTCATGTGCGGCCCGCGGCTAAATGCGGCTGCCGGTTCCTGGAAGCAGACGTGCCTGGCATCGCGTCAGCAGAAACCTGATCCCCGGGGAAGCTGGGCACGGCTGCGGGATCGCTGGGCCCCCAGAATAGGGCCTGGCAGCGGCACCGGCAGCACCCGCTCGCACCCAGCAGGGGGGAATCCGGGCGCTCACCCCCCCCCCCCCCCCCCCGGCCCGCAAGGCAGGGGCGGGGCAGGGAACTGGATTTAGGCAGGGCCTGAGACAAGGGCCTAATGAACTAGAAACTAGCAGCTTCCCACGGTCATTGCTCATTACTGAAGCCTGACAGCCCAGCAGTATACCCTGAGAGGTGCTCACTATTGTAATTCACAAATAAAAGCAGGCTCAGAGAGGGCAGGGCGTGTGCCCAACGGCACACAGCTTTCGAATCACTGGACCATGAATGGGATGGTGAGTGTGTTGGACTGTAGCTCTCCTTAGTGAGATGCAAGTAAAGGCTTCCACAGAATCCGGCTGTTAATGATAATAATAATAAATAATAATACAAATACCGAGACAACCGCTACCACGACTAACAGCAAACACAGCGGCAGCACTTACTCCCTGCCAAGCACGTGTCACAGCCCTGCACATAGTCACTTACTCTCCACAGCCGCTCACGAGGCGATGGAATCCGTGTTCCCCTGGCATCCGGTCACACAGCCCCAGCCCCGCACTGGAGTGGAAACCTGGGTGCTTTGGCTCCAGAGTCTATATGCCCAGCTCCAGAGCCGCACTGCCCTTGTCACCAAAGAGCCGTCGAAGTCGCACTAAGAATAGTAAAAGCAGCGACGGGCACAAGGGTCGCTGCCGTGTTTGAACGCGTTGCCTCTGCCGGGCGCCGGTAGGACCTTCCGTGGATGCGCTGTGCTTCCCCCCAGCAGCTGTGAAGGGCGAATGTTCGTTCACAAGCGCATTTTCCGGATGAGAAAGCGGGAGGCCAGCGAGGGGGGCGCCTCCCCCGAGGCCACATGCGTGGGAAGGACGGTGCCCCCGCTTCCAAGCTGAGCTGTGGCGATGCCGGGCTCGGACGGGCGTGATCTCATTTAATCCTCCCAGTAGCCCCTGGGTGCACCGAAGAGGCCAAAGCTCGGAGTGAAATTCTTTGCCCAACTCCTTTTTTTAAAATCTTTTCATTGATTTCAGAGAGAAAGGGAGAGGGAGAGAGAGAAACATCAAAGATGAGAGAGAATCATGGATCAGCTGCCTCCTGCACTGCGCCCCTACTGGGGACTGAGCTCAAAACCCGCGCACGTGCCCTTAACCAGAATCGACCCTTCAGTCCACAGGCCGACGCTTTATCCACTGAGCCACACCAGCCAGGGCTGACCAACTCTTTATTTGCTTCCTTACAAATACCACCCCAGGGTCAAAAGATGGGCCCTTTCTCCCGCTCAAGAACTAACAGGGCAGGACTATCCCAGCAGGAGGCGGGGGGGGGGGGGGCGGGGGGAGCGGGTGCTGCAGGGTTACTGTGCTGAGAATGAGAATCTGGTTGGTGGAAATTCCATGTCAAAGTCGGGGGGGAGGCACTGCTCTTCTCATCTCCTAGGGTTAGGAGAGGCGGGGAGGGGCCTGGGGCAGCCGCTACACGAGGACCTGGGATGGGCAGTTCTCAGGGAGGGGCACCCAAGGAGAGAGGGGGAGGCGGGGAGGGGGGTGGGAGATGGAGACTGAGTTTCAGGCGTCCCCCTGGAAGGGAACCTGGGCGGGTGAGTGGGGACCCCAGGCCTGCAGCCCCGGTGCTCCCCCAGCCCACCCGCCCCGGCCCAGCCTCCGCTCTGGCAGGCCCCCGCTCGCTCTGGCGGGTGAGGGCCACGCAGGCGGCCGGCACGGGGAGCAGGGCCGGCATCTCAGGGCGGAGCTTGACGCGCGGCCAGCTCTCTCCTGGGCCCGGCTCCCCCCGCGAGGCTCCCAGAGACCGCGTGTGTCGAGTTCCCAAGTGGTTTCATATCAATACTGTGTCCACCGGATCGGCGTGTTCTCCGGAGACCAGAGGTCCCTGCGCCACGTGGGGGGGGGTGGGGGGGGCGGGCTTCTCACCGCCTCTGAGCGGCTTCCTCTCGCTCTGTCCTGGGCATTGCCGGGGTTTGAACAGCAGGCCCGTGGCTACAAACCATCGCAGGCGTGCGGGACGGCGCCCAACGGCAGCCCCCACCCCGGGCACGGCCGTCACCTTACCCGCCTCTGTCCCGGTCCCAGAGGGAGGCTGAGGCCACTCAGAGCCCCCACCCGCACCCGTTTATCCCAGGCCATCTGTTTGGCCCGAGGACCGTGGAACATGAGCCGGGAGAAGCCTCTCCCATTGGCCGAGGAAGCCGCCGGCACCGCCATCCAGTCTTGTGATGGGACTGGATGTGGGCCCAGGGGTTCCTTCCACTACCAACGGCCCCTCCCTCCCTGGAGGCATCTGAGCAGACACCCAGGTGGGGTGTCAGGCGGAGTCACCTGAGGCTGCGGCCACCGCGATGGGACCGCAGCCTGCGCTACACCTGTCCCCGGCCTGCGCCCCACCCTCCGCCGCCTGGGAGAGGGCGCGCTTATTGTTGGGAGAATGGAGGCATTTTTGGAACCTCCTTACGGATGGTGTACGGAGGCAGAAGTTACACCAGCGGTTCTCAACCTGTGGGTCGCAACCCCTTTGGGGATCGAACGACCCTTTCACAGGGGTCGCCTAAGACCATCGGAAAGCACATATATAATTACGTATTGTTTTTGTGATTAATCACTATGCTTTCATTATGTTCAATTTGTCACAATGAAATTGGGGGTCACCACAACATGAGGAACTGTATTAATGGGTCGCGGCATTAGGAAGGTTGAGAACCACTGAGTTATGCAAATGGAGAAGATGAAGGAAACAGTCCATTTCCGGGGGGGGGGGAGGGCGGGGATTGTGTGTTTTGTAAAGCTTTTATTAAAATATCTTATTATTTGTATCTTTTTTTTTAACTACAAAAGGACACAGGAACAATAAGAAGAAAAACAGCCGTATTTAAAAATGGGCAGAGGGTCTGAACAGACATTTCTCTCAAGAAGATCCACTAGAGGCCGAGACTCACGTGGAGATGCTCAACCGCATTAGTCATCAGATGCAAATGGAGCCGCAGGGAGGCGCCGCTTCCCGCCCACGGGACGGCTGCCACGAAGAAAATCAAACCGGAAAAGAAGCGTGGACGCGCCCGGGAGATCTGGGACC